TTGTTTATTGTCACTCGATTCATTTTTCATTTTAGCTCCGCCCTCGCATCCAGTATGATCCCTACCAAGCGTGCTGCCCCGGCTTCGCCGTCGCCGGCAGACAAGCGTCCGTGCAATGCCAGCGCTGTCCTCACGAACCCGTCGCTCGTCGGTGCCATCACCGATTATGGCACCAACTGCCTCGCCTTGTGCCCGACACTCTACGACGTATTCGATCTCTCCAACGTTAAGAGCTGCTCGTTCGAAGAGGATGAGGCAGCGTTCAACCGCCTCAGTGGCAAGCACGTCATGAACGGCTACGTCGACCACGAAGAGGACCTCAGCAAAGACGAGCTCGTGGTGCGCGCCAAGGCCAGCGTCACAGACCCCAAGGCTCTCTACCGAGCGCTGGAAGTGCACCAGAAGCTCGCTGAAATCGTCGCTCCCATCGCGACGACGTACGAGTTGCCGGCCGGCGGCATCCAGCAGTTCTCGCTCTTCGGCGAGCGCGCGATGCTCTTTGCGCCGAGCTCCCGCGTCGACCCGACGTCCAACACGTGGGGCCGCGCCGATTTGGTCAAGATTTTCAACAACGAGGAAATTGAGCTTCGCGACAACGGCTTTGGCGTGCCCCACGGCATCGGATGGCACTGGTACAACTTGTCCGAGGACGGTGCGTGTGCGTTTTGCGCGGCGGCGGGCACAGTCGAGGAGAATGACGAACTCGAGAAAGACGGCGGCTACGGCGAAGCCGACAACGAGATCCCGGACGTGTGGCACGCATTTCTCGAAGCCCACGGGCTGCACGTCAACGCGTTTCGGTCGTGGCGCAACTACGCCTACGAAGCGCTGGTAGAGAACAGCGAGGCCCACCGCGCATTCTGTAGCAACGTCATGCAGCCGTTGCAGGCGCACCTCCGCGCGCACTCGAGTGACGTCAAGTTTGTCACGTGCGATTACCGTGACGGCGGCGACCAAATCGTGAGCTCGTCTTTCGTGGGCGGGCTGACCGCCGACGGGTACCTTGTTGGCGTCTTCTTCGGGTTCGAAGATGTCTTGTAAATGAACTCGATGTGTCTTTTCGCCAGTATATCGTGCAGCTTGATATGGTAGTGTAAGCATCAATACTGCCAAATTGCGGTGGCTGTACGCCCTGACAAACTGCATATGTTTAGACGAATTTGCTGAAATGACGATTGCCACTCCTTGCCCGCATGCTCCGGTGTGGGTCCATTTCTGTCAACTTCAAAAAGAAAACTCCAAATATGTCAAATCTCAACGCCCAACTTCTCACTTTGCAGGACATCACAACACCAAAATATATGCAAACTTGGTTGTTTGGTTATATACACGACACGATTACAAGGGTGAATTTACGGCGTCATGGCGTACGACACCTGGACAGGCGCGCTGCCGCCGCAGAGCGTCACGATGATCTGCGTGAGGACCGAGAAACCTTCGCCGGTCATCAGGCCGGCGGCAAGAATGTACTGCGTCTTCTCGAACGAGGCTTCGTCCTTGGACTTCCAGTACGCGATGATACCGGCCATGATCATGCCTTCGAGACCGAAGCTCGCGGGCACGATCATGCCGATCGAGACGGCCATCGGGAGCGGGCAGTGGTTGGCGATGACGTTGAGCACCTTGTTCTTGGACTCGGAAAAGTTGTCGATGTACAAGTTGAACACGATCGTGTAGACAACGCCGACAAGCATGAAGTAGCCACAGTACGTGGGGAGGCCCGAGAGACCGACGGTAGCCGTGATCGCCATGACGCGGTAGACCTCGCCGAATGGCGCCTTGAGGAGCGGGCCGGGCAGCGTGTACGCGTCGTTCATGAGCACCCAGACGGTTGGGACAACGAGGCAGGACATGCACGCGCCAAAGATCTGCGCCACGATCATAGACTTGGCCGACGCGCCGACAAGGTAGCCGGTCTTGAAGTCCTGCATGAGGTCGGCGGCCTGCGAGCAGCCGACAATGACCATCTGGCACAGAATGAGCGACGCGATGATCGACTTGTCGTTGCCGTCGGTCCATGAGCCAATGACAAAGAGGATGAGCTTGCCGACAGCGCTGGAGACGTTCCAGTCGGTCATACCCGTGCCCTGGACGATGCCGATCGCAAAGATCGGGATGAGGAGGCAGCACACGAGCACCTTGTACCACTTGACGGTCTCAAACATGAACGAGATGACGACGACCGAGACGGCGGCAAAGACCACGAGGCCACCGATCCAGGACCACGTCGGGATGTGCGCCGACTCGAAGATCTTGTCGAGATACGCCTGGCGCTGGGCCTTGGAGAGCACGTCGTCGTTTTCGGTCGCCTTGTCGTCCGCCTCGGTGATCGTCTTGTTCTCGTCCTTCTTGGCCGACCACGACTTGCCGATGATGATACCCATCTTGATGATGCTGTAAAGCGCGTCGACGCAGATGATGGCGACGGCCGTGAACGTGTAGTAGGCCTTGAGACCCGCCGCGCCTTCGCTCTCGTACCAGACGCCGAGTTTCTGTGCCTTGAGCACCGGCATGAGGATGCCCCACGTGATGATGTTGCCGAGGAACATCGAGTACATGACGCGGAACGGCAGCATCAAGCTGATGGCAAAGGTGCCGGGCGCAAAGTCGAGGATCCACGTAAAGCCCGCGGCCTTCTCGCCAAAGATCGGGAACTCGCCGAGCCCGTTGAAGCAGAACACAAAGATGCTCCAGACGTACGCAAACACACCGGACTTGAGGAGCACGTTCCATTGGTACTCGACAGCCTCCTTCGACGTGTGGAGCGTCTTGATCATGACGGCGGTGGCCGTACCGCTCGGGAAGAGGAGGCGCATCTCGATGATAAACTTGCGGCGGAGCGGGAACGAGATGAAGAAGCCAAAGAGCGCAATGCTCGCGCACCACCCAAACGAGCGGAGCCACGTAAAGTCGATGACGTCCGAGGCGAGGTTGCCCGCGTACGTCGTGTTGCCCATGACGAGGAAGACATTTTCCGTGAGGCCGAGGATGCCAGAGCCAAAACCGGCCTGGCTCGCCAAACTCATGCACGCCACCGCGCACGTCTGGATGACGACGTTCTCCTGGACGGTAAAGTGCTTGCCAAAGAACTGCGTCTTCATCAAGGCGCGGCAGAGCATGAAACCACCGATGCCGGAGAGCACGTTGAGGGACGGCGTGACGCCGAGCTTGAGGCTATAGTACATGGCGAGGACGCTCGTGAACGTGCCCATGATGGTGCCGACGACGAGCGACTTGATCGTCACCTGCGGGTGCTCGAGCCCCGACGTGATGACTTCAAACTCGGCCGCGTGCTTGGCTTCGTTGGCGACAGCATCGTCGGCGTTTTCGTTCCAGTGGGGCGTCGCCGCGACCTTGTACTCGGACACGACGCTGTTCTGCGCGGACCGCATTCGACTCGATGTGGCTGTGGGGCAGAGGGCAAAAAGTAGAATGAAGCCTGGGCTTTGTGAGGAGGTGATGTACCCACGAGCTATCATTGTCGCAGCTAGGGTTCTGATAATGCAACATCTGTTATCTGAGGCATCCCGCGACCGCGAATGGGATCCAGTCGCTTGCAGGATCGATTGCACAAGCACGTAGAAAAACGTCGACAGGATTATCCACAGACGTGGGTCCCTTCGCAATGTGTGAGTGGTGTCCACTAATACAGGACGCGCGAAAGATCCTGCGACGGAGACCACGTGTGTACCCAGCTTAACAGGTACATAACTCGTTTTTACTTACTCTCACTATGGTCCTCGAACGAGCACATTTGACTCTATCTTGATTAAAGTATTCAACGGTGAATCGAAGATCGAAGTGCTATTGCTATCCGGACGAAAGCGGGCAAATCGAACACGATCTGGACGATACCATGGAGCTGACAAGGATGTTGATTTTCTCTCTCATTTTACGTCGTATCGGGCTAGACTCAAGCTCAATCGAAAGCTTATTTCGTGCACTATCGTAAGACAGCGCGCTCACGGGTATGACACAAGTATTGTGGTGCCCCGGGAGCCCTGAAGTGACGCAAGGGCAGTTATCCGGCGCATCTGGACGCTGACAAGGATGTTGATTTTCTCGCTCATTTTGAGACATATTAGGCTATATTGTGGTGCAATCGAAAGTTCACGACATGGCCTTTCGTAAGACATCACGCTTGCGGGTGTGCCGCTGGTATTGCGCTGACGCGGTGGCGCTATAGCCATTGCATGCCTCCTATTTGCACGGTATCCGGAATTCGAAGTACGAATCATGTACCTGTTACCCAGCTTCGTCTTCTATGGTCGCGATACCGTCCGAGCTTGGGATACCCACGTGTCTTGGTAAGTACTACGGTACATCGCGTCTCAGTCCCCC